CCCTACTTGCGTATTTATGTACGTGATAAGCTAAATGTGTCGTAAACATATATATTAAGCATATATTGTCAAACCGTATCATTAATCGCGTTTTATTACTGATTTGAATATTTTTTTATTTGTTATTAATATAATTTATAATATATAATTATTAAACTTTCTCAATTATACTTTTTATTATTTTTAAACGCAAATATACTATTTTTTAAGGTGATAAAAAATTTTTGAAAAAAACGATAGGTACAATTTAGAATATTGATTACTTAAATTATATCATTCGTACTACGTCATAAAAAGATTTAAAACAAATAAATTTATTGTTGTCGAAAAACTAAACATACAGGGTGTCTCCGATTACCCGCAATTGGAAGACACTACCAGATTAAGCGTTTTATCCCGAATCTATCGAGCCTAATTTGTTGATTTGCAGTGTAGTTAATTAATAAACTATTTTTTAAAATTAATTTAATTAATAAAATTTTTTTAAATTTATTTTATAATAAATAATAATAATTTCTTATAATATTAGTAATACACAGAATACTTTGAAACACAGTGAATGACACAGATAACAAATTTTTAATGATCTCAGACTTAGTATCACACTGTCAGATTAAGCATTTTATCCCGAATCTATCGAACCCTAACAATAAGTCTGAAATCGTTAAAAATTTTTGATCTGTGTCATTCACTGTTTCAAAGTATTCTATTACTAATATTGTAAGAAATTATTGTTATTTGTCATAAAATTAATTTTAAAAAATTTTATTAATTTAATTAATTTTAAAAAGTTTATTAATTAACTACGCTGCAGATCAACAAATTATTAGGCTCTATAAAATTAATTTTAAAAAATATTAATTTAATTAATTGTAAAAGTTTATTAATTAACTACACTGCAGATCAACAAATTATTAGGCTCTATAAATTCGGGATAAAACATTTAATCTGGTAGTGTGTTCCGATTGCGGGTTATCGGAAACACCCTGTATAATAGTAGATGTCTTAGACATCTAGCTTTTCAAACAATTTCCAATATTAATTTGCATGCAAATTATTACACCAAGTAAGGAATATAACACAAATTGAGTAGTACGATTTTGGCAATCTGCCATAATTTATATAGCAAACTCTAAATTTAATTATAGACGCACGTTGTAAGAGCACTTTCATATTTTTTAATGATAAGAATGAAGAAACAGTATTGAACATTGTTGCATCAAATTGCGGCGCGACTGTACCCTTTTTAGGAAATTACAAATATTAACAATCCTTGTCTGAACAATTTTCGCTCTACGCATGATAAATAATAAAATAACGCAGGTGTACGCACTACGCAGTATGTAACGTATGACCATAAAGTATCAGGTAAACGCGACATTGTTATTATTATTTATTATAACATTACCGAAATGACACGCACGCGGATGGGTACTACGAGAAGTACACCGACAACGCTCAAGACGCATAATACTTGTACCGCGTTTCTCAGAAAAGAACTCTAAAGAAGAGAAATGGACGGTGACGCAAAGGCATAACGGATTCACTGGAGACTCGTATTCGCCCATTGTTGCCTTTTTCCTGTGTCATGATACCGGAAAGTTCAACACACACGTGTAACGTGATCATTTTTCCCACTTATATTTAATGCATTATCTCGCTTTTATCTAAATTACCTCGCGATACTCTAAAGAGTCTAAAGAGTAATGCTTCCTTGCAACTCAAACGTTATGACGTTCGTACATATCAGGAGTCAGAATACGCCAGATCATCATTGATCGATGGAATCTACATGAAAAAATAAATAAGAATGAAGAATAAGAAATTTTTTAACATAAAGCTTTGTTTTAAAAAAATCGAATTTAGAACTGTGAAGAATTATTAATAGCTCTTCTCTGCTTTAGAGTAATCAAAATTACATTGACGTGAAAATATATATACATATATACATATATGTATACATTAGGGTGGACCTTATTTTTGACTTTTGAATTTTTTTCACGACGCCCCCTAAAGTTGTTCCATTTGGTGAAAAGAAAATTGTGTAAAAGCTGAGCTCGATTGGACAACGGGAAGACGTGGCACA